TCCATAACTCATGATCATAATTCATAAAACATAAATCATAATTCAAAAAATTAACTAAACTCTGAAAGAACAAAAAAAAAAAAAAAATAGCAGATCGGTAGAGCAGACTCACAACGGTGAAGTTACAAAGGCCAGTGGCAAAGACCATAGGCGTCGTCGACGATCGACAGCAGGGCAGGGGCTGGGACGGTGGGACTACTGGGTGCGACCAAGGGATGGATTGAGATTCACTTTGTACAATTGCGAATTTGCGTTTTGTTTGCAATTGAAATTTGGGGATGGGTATAAGATTGGATTTAAGCGTTTGGTTAGGCCATTTTTTTTAAAAAAAAACTAGTAACAAACAATAACAAAAAAGATCACAATCACAATTAAAAGCAAAAAAAATGCCCAATCATGAATTATCTTCAACCTCGGTGCAGTTTCTGAGAATTTATGCCGATTGTGTCTTCCCTCTTGATCAGTGATGGTGACTCAAGTGCTGGCTCAACCATTGCACGTACACAGATCTTAGCAAATGAAGATGTGGATTATGCAATTATAGAGATACCATCAATCAAGCCTGGTACCCCTGTTCAAGCTTTATGTGCACTTGTTTCATTCCCTCAAAAGCTGCTAACACAACCAAAAGAGGAACAGCTTTAGACTATCGCAACAAGAAGTAAAGTTCAACTATTAAAAAATCACTATGAAGAAGAAAATAATTGAGGGGAATCAGGTACCTACCACAGGCAATGAACAAGTGATTCAATTTGAAGAACCATTAAAGATTAATCAAGAAGAATAATTACACAGTCCACATGTTAATGTAATCGTTCTTGTCAATAAATACACACTTTCAATCTCATTCCCTTAAAGGTTGTAGAACAATAAGTTGGAAAAGCAATTTGAGAAGTTCTTGGATGCTCTCATTTAACTTCACATCAATATTCATTTTATTGATGTGATTTTACATATTCCCAATTAGACTAAGATTTCGAAAGAAATGCTGATTAAGAAGATAAAGCTGCCAGTAGGTGAAACAATGACTTTGACAAAAAAGTGCAATGCAATCATATAACATAAGCTCCCTCCTAAACTAAAAGATTCAGGAAAATTTCATTGTACTTTGCTCTATAGGAAATTTACATGATTTAAATACTTTAATTGATTCTAGGCAAGTATTAATTTGATACCACCGTCTATCTTCAGGAAATTAGGATTTGATGATCCAAAAGCAACATCAATAATCCTACACTAGCTGATAGTTCACTTAAGCATCTTTTTGGAGTAGTAGAGGATATGCTCATCAAAGTTGGTGATTACTTTTTCCAATTGATTTCATTATCCTCGATATAGATGCTCAACACATGACGTTAATTTTGGGGAGATAGTTCTTTGCAACTTCACGAGCATTAATAGATTTTGAAAGAGGTGAGATTATCTTGAGGGTGAAAGAAAAACAATAAACCTTCACCAGGAATACTCCACTCAAGCAACCACTTGACATTGAGGAATGGAAAATGATATACCATTGGAGAAGTCAACAAGAAGGAAGAAGTTAGAATCATTGGGCAAGACAACAATAGAAATCTTGTAATTTGGAGGTCCAAAGATGACTTAAGGAACAACTATTAGTATAGCCAATGCAAGGCTAAAAACTCTCTTTTCAAGTCATCATAAATAGCCAAAACTATAAAGTCAAGTTAAAGACTATGAATAAACATTTATTTGAAGATAACCAAATTTTATTTCCTTTCATTTATTTTTTCTTTCTAGAATATATGATTAACACTTTTTATTGCTTTTAGTATTATAGGGTATTTTCATCTCTATATTTCATTTTAGGATGTTTTATTAGAGTTTATTGTAAATTGCTCAATATTATGGTTGGATTTTTACTTTGAAAGTACACGACACATAAACACACCGGACAAGGGAAAATATATAACAACTAATCTAGCATTTTTGTGCCATCCATCCACCAATTGCAGATTTATATTGAGGGAGTACTTAGTTCCTTTCTTTGCCATTAATTTTTATAACTTGCTTGTTACAGTTTTAGACATTGAGAGTAATGTCTATTATAAGTTTGAGGGTGAAAAAATATTAAGTTTTCATCTGATTTTACTGTATTATTTGTTTGTTCATGTGCAAATAACAAAAATCGAAAAAAAACTATTATCAACTTATTTTTATGTGCATGTGTAAGTTATATAATTTTGCCTACGATGATGTATGTATTTAGAAACATGTGTTAAATTATAAACGTTGAAAAAGTTGCATGTTAGGAATTATTTATATTTATTCATGTGAAATTTGATATTTATGCGCGCAAGATTTTTGTTTTGCATTATGAAAAAATAATTTGATTCAAATTTTGAATGCATTGAAAATAGTGGATCTTAGATGCTAAATCTTGACGACTAAATTATATATCCTTAAAACAAATCTAAGATAGTTTAAGGGTGATTGAACCACTATAGGGAGACATTGAGATAAATATTCTGAGTGTGATAAATTTTGTGTGGATTATTTAAAATCAATAAGATGAAAATTAAGTGAAAATCTTAAGTTAGAGATAGATTTTAAAGAATAAATGTTTAACTAGGGACATTATGCTAATCATTGCATAAAAAAAAAACATCTCATTGTGAAACTTCCATTTATAACCTTTATGACTTGATTGATTAAACTTGCAAGGGTATTTAAAATCTACTGTCCTATAGTCATTTGATTTGAGAGTCATTGGCTAAAATTTCACTATATATATATATATACAGAAATGATCTAATGAGCACCGGTGCTCATCTTATCCTAAGCACCGATGAGTTGCCACATTAATTCATTGATGGATAAAGATTTTGTGAGTTACAAGAATTACATATATTAATGTTTGGGCCAAGAATCATTACTAAAGAAGATATACTTTCACGCTTATATGACTTTCACTAATTCTCTAGTGATAATGTGTTTAAAAAGTTTGGGCGTGCACACTATTTTAAGCAGTAATTAATTTGATGGGGTCCGCAAAAGTGGGCATTCTGACAAGCCTGACTTAAGAATCATTCAATGCACGTNCCACCTAAAGCGGACAGTACGTATGATATAACGGTTTGGTCACAAGGCCTGAGTCGTTAAGTTTTTTTTGTAACAACCCAGGCTTTGTGCCCAAACCGTTATATCATACGTACTGTCCGCTTTGGGTGGGCATCTGCCCCACTTAACACCTTACGAATTTCTATCGATTCTCCTAGGATTCGAATCCATATATATATATAAAACAGAAATTGAACTACATGCCTTGATTAAGCCCCAACAATTGTTTGGACATCTGCTTACTTTCCTCCTTACATGTTTCTATCATGTCCCTTAAGATTTGAATCTGGCCCGTACATGAAATAGAAGATACACTATATGCCTTGATTAAAATCCAACCACTTGTTTTACAGAATTTGACCTTTGACTATGGGTTATTAACCGAATTGATTTTTTAAGGTTAAATCAATAAAAAATAAGAAGAATTCTCATTTGTTGATGTGTTGAGCTGCAATTAGTAATATATAACCAAACTAGAAAGGGTGAGAAGCAGCATATAAATTTAAGATAATGATGGTTGTATACACTACAACAAAAATAGCCTACGGCAACGTTCAAAAAACGTTGCCGTAGACCTTTTGCAACGTTTGGACGTGTGTTGCAAATCAAGGTGTTGCCGTAGAGTAGGACCCCTACGGCAACGTTTAAAAAACGTTGCCGTAGGGGGTCTACGGCAACGTTTAAGGTCTACAGCAACGTTTAAGAAAACGTTGCCGTAAGGTTTTTTTTTTTTTTTTTTTTTGACAAAATTGAAAATGAATATGAACAAATTTTGAAATTGCATAAAAATCGATAATTTTATTACAAATTTTTGAATCCATACACTTGAATATTAGAATGTGATACAAAAACACCTAAATAAAAATGAGTTTCAAAATGGTAATACATCAATTGATAGTAAGCACTTCCATCCAATGTGATAATCACCCAACAAACAAATTTACTCTAAACAACCCTATCATGCTAAAATAGCCCAAGACTTTAAAACATTACTTCCACCACTACTAGTAGAATCTTCATCTGTAGCAGTAAACTGTACAAGGCCTTCATTCTCCTGCTTTAGAATTTGAATTATTGTACATTTCTCCTTAAGTGCCTGCAAAAAATTGAGGACACCATAAACATTCCAAGCTTGTAAAACAAAAATATGCCCATGTACAATTCAATCTTCAAATGATTAATTGTATAAAAAATATATATATGAATGATGTAACTAAGTAAATGATGAGATTGAGGGAATTAATTAGTAGGATATAGACCCAGAAAAACTATGAAAATTTAGAACTTCTCATTATCATTTGAATCATGAAAAGTGAAGGAACTCATCAAAATAATCGAAAGTATGAAAACAGAGTGCATATTTTGATTAATAGACTAAAAAGAGCTGTATTTCTGCTCACAATTAATTATCTTAATTGAGAAATATATGTTATCTCTACAATTAAGAACTAAGAACCTGCCAGAGGGGGTATAATCGAGATATGTCTGATCAAGGTAGATAAATGAAAAGTTGCATAGAATAAAAACCTTTCCAAGTGAGATGTACTCCCCATGTTGCAGCTTCACAATGTCTTTCTTCCTATCAATGATCTCAAGGCACCCATCAGCATGAAACTTTCCAATATCTCCGGTGTAGAATCAACATTGGACTAATTTTATGAAAGTATTTCTTTTAATTAGAATTTTTTTTTAGAGATAACTAGTCCAATGTTGATTCCTCTAAAGCACTACCAATTTTTGAAATAGGAAGCTCTTTTAAAAATTAGTTTTCAAATAAAATTAAAATAGCTTCCTCTAAAAAATGTTTTACAGGAAGCAAAAGTCATGCCAAACGTGTCTTTCAACGCTAGCTTGCAATCCCACTTCCATCTAGAGGGACACTTTCAAGTGCTGTTGAGATAGCAGTGGCATCTACTACCGTGATGTCGGCTAAGGACTGGTCGAAGAATTTAGAAGCCCAGTTCAGAAACAAGGCATGTCAAAATGAAAAAAATTATTTGAACTCTCTCTAGCATTAATTTCAGTAACTGTTATTTGATGTTTCTCTCTATCTTCAGATAGACACACTGTCAAAACTGAATCACAGAAACTTTGTTAACCTTATTGGATATTGTGAAGAAGTGGAGCCTTTTACAAGAATGATGGTATTTGAGTATGCCTCAAACGGGACGTTGTTTGAACATCTACACAGTAAGTTCAACTGCAACTTCAATTTCTCACGTTCATCTTTACATACAACTTAAGTGCAGGATATACCTGGAAAGGAGCAGGTTCTTGCAGTTCACCACCTATGACCCATAAAAACCTGCAATCCTCGTCCGTATATCTAACAGAAGACTATGCGGCCAAAATTTCAGACTTCGGCTTCTGGAATGAAGTAACAGCAACAAAAATGGGACCAGCAAACAAGGAGCTCTTGGAGACTCCATTGGTCGAACCAGAAAGCAATGTTTACAGCTTTGGACTAATATTGTTTGAAATAATCACTGGTAGACTTCCATATTCAGTGGGTAATGGTTTTGTTGTGGACTGGATATTGGACTGCTTGAGGCAAGAGAGGCCACTGAGAGAAGTGGTGGATCCAACTCTAAAATCTTTCAACGAGCAACAACTAGAAAAATTGCTTCAGGTTGCAAAAGAATGTGCTCTTCCCGACCCTACACAGAGACCAACGATGAGAGATGTTACATCTAAGTTGAAAGAGATCACGGGATTGGGACATGATGAAGTTATACCCAAATTATCTCCTCTTTGGTGGGCTGAACTTGAGATCTTATCACCTGAATCAGCCTAAGAGGTGAGTACAAAAGTGGTGTAATTTGATTTGTTTTATCATCATTTTTATTTGATGTTTCTTGACTCCTTAACAATGTTACTGATTAATCCATTGTTTGAATTGTTGACATCTGATTTTAGGTTGGGGAGAGCTGGTTGTAAATGAGGGGAGAATAATGGCATTCTACACTTTCTTTTATCATTGTACCTATAATTTTCTCCTTAACAAGGGTCGTTCTATACGGTCCTCTGAAAAATCGACACGCAAGCTAGAAATAATCTACATCTTTGAACCGGGTCGAGGAAGAACATGAACTAATCCAAGAGAAGCAATCGAGCAGAACCCTAAATCCCTAAATCAGAACCCTAAATCCCTAAATCAAAATCAATTCACTTGCTGATCATTACCATGAAACTCAATTATAAACTCAATAAATTTACCACAATAAGATACACAATTCATTTCCCTCAATAATAAACATAAATACATTATACAGGAAGGGAAGACCGAAGACTGAGGAAGCCGGAACTTACCAGGCTGTGGCTGTCCAGGCAGGAGAGTCGGATGTCGCCTTCGCCTGTCGGAGACTGGAAGNTGCTGGCTCTATTGCTGGAGTTGTTTATGATCTTAAAGGGTATAAGCCTTTTAAGAATGTGTCCTAATTCGTATCACTTTTACATCATAATTAGAGAAATGGGTTTTTTCCCAAACAAGAAAGTGATCAGAATTTGTGGTTTCAATTATATTACTCGATGCATTATTTTCAATCTTTAATGTAATTTCTCATTGTGTCCCGAGGATATTAGCCTTGTATGTTATTATTTTTGGATTCAAGATTCCACATTTTCCCCAAGTCTGTAGTTGTATCTATTTCAATTTCTCAGTTGAAATCGTAACTCAAATAAACTTTTCCTTAAGTTTCTTTTGTTAAAAGTTTCTATGGCATCAGTGGTTGCTTATATTCTTGAATTATTCTACTTGTACATCAAGAATTGTACATAAGGGTCTATATCCCCCTCACATGAGGGGTGTGACTCACTGAAATAATATATTTTTTATTCGAGTGGACCCTACCCCCATGTGAGAGGGGTGTAACCCCCAATGTAACTCCCGATATACCACTAGCATGATCGATAAATTTAACCTTAGATCGCACCTTGAAAAATTAGTTAAAAAATAATAAATTTTGGGCTCTAAATCTCATGGAAGAAGAAACAATAAATTTGACTATTAAGGGTTTGAATTATTTTATGAATTTATGATGCTTTATCTGAATTTTTACATGCACGTTAGTTTTGCATGGAACGAGTAGAAATTAATTTTAGTTATGTGATTTTGAAGCAGTTCATAGTTTTAATATAGAAATTCGAATCTTGAGACAAAATGTAGGTTATCTAACCATGTTTGTTTTTAAAATTTTTGATTAAGTCAAAGTTTATTTTGTTTGAGGATAAACGATTATTTAAGTTTGAAGGTGTTTAATAAGTGTATTTTATATAATTATCTAGATCGTTAAATATGATTAATTGTAATTAATTTTGATGATTTATGACTTAATTAAATATTAATTTTGCTTGTTAGATAAAACTAGATGTAATTGGATGGAATTGGAAGAAAGTAGTGAAAAACGGGTGACAGAGGAAGAAAACCAAAGTTTGGGGACTCAATCGTACACTTTCAATAACTGGTCCGGTTCTTGAAGTGATGATTTAAGACTTTGTGGGATCAATTGGAAAATGTTAGAAGCTAAAGGGCCAAAGACGCACAAGAAAAATTGAACTAAAGGGTGAATTTAAAATTGGGACAAAAACGCAAAAATCCGGATAGTTAAGACACCTTGCCCACGAGAAGCTTTGATGAATGAGTCGGTGCACCTGCACAGCTCTTCAATAAATTAACAGAAGGCTATAGCAGATAACGGCGTACCATTAAATCTTGGACCTCACGTGAAAATTTCCCTTTTAAAAATAGAAATATGATTTTATTGAATTTCCTCTCACGTTTGGTTCGATTTTCTACTTTTATAAATACAAAATTTGGCCAATACATTGGGTAACTCTATCTAGTCTCTAGATACACAAGAATATCATAAAATTTATCTAGAACAAGATGTCAATTCACTACTTTTGAGAAGGAAGATCAAACTTTAGTAAGAAATTGAAGATCGGCATCTTTTGCATTTTTTATGATCTGAGTGATGACTTTCCATTGTTTTTCTTGTAATTTATTTAAAAACATCCTAGGCTAGATCATTTTTTGTATTAGATGAAAATGAATCCTATTTTTTTATTTGTTTTAAGTTAAGATTAGCAGTTTAGTTTATTTCTTGCGCTTCTTGATTAATTTGCATACACATTGTATTATTTAGTTGATTGGTCATCAATTAGATAATTAGTTGTTTATTGTAGTATTGGGAGACTCATTGGGAGACTCACAATAAATTTAGCACGTAACAAAATTAAAATAAATGTAATAAATGTTAAGAATAATCATTTATCACGTGTGCGATTAATTGATAATCTGAAATTTAATGCATTTTAAATAGTTAATTTATCTTGAAAAAGAAAGTTAAATACATCAGCTTTATCGATTGTCAAGAACGAATGAATACAATTATAATTGAAAATTGAAATCAATATCAATAGTAATAGACGGATTCGAAATCCAATACAATTATTCATAATTTGATTTAGAAACACTTTTTTACCTCTTTCTTATATAATTTAACATAAAATCAAATCAAAGTCTCTCTCTCTCTCTCTCTCTCTCATAATTCGAATTCCATATAAAAACTAGCAAATTTGAACTGAAATTTATTCTATGTGGGATGATAAGTTTCAACTCACTTAATCAATTACTTATCACGATCCCGTACGTTTGCAGTATTTTAATGAACAGTTAGCCATTTTTTGCTTAATTTGTAAGATTCACAAATTGAATTAAGACCCTTCAAACTCGAATTGTCTAGAGTCCTTTCTTACTAGGAGCATATTTTAGGTGCGCACTTGTGTGCCTTTTTTGGATCTCATTTAATGAGAATTTAACACTATAACACATTTAGCTATAGGAACATGTGTATTTAAAAGTTGAAAAATGTCAACACATTTGTCAGATTTATATAAATATCAATGGAGCCGTTTCCATGTGAAGGACCAAAATACCCTCTTCTAATCAATGAAAATTATGGAATTACACTCAACCCATTAAAGAAATGAAAATAGAATGTAAGGGTAAAAATGAAATGTTGTACCGTGCATCTAAAAGAAAAAGTCAAACGGAGAAATAAGGGGCATACAATTCGAAAAATGAACTTGAAAAAAGAAAATTGGGGGCCAAAATGCAAAAGTTTATTACACCTTAGTTTAGTTTACCCTCAAGCTTTTATTTTTTTTTCCAATCTCATTTTTCGGACCGTGGGTCCCCTTGTTTTTAATATAGGGAAAAGTTTATGACAGATGATAATCCCCATTTGACTTTTTCTTTGAGATGCACAATACGATATGCGCTATATTTCCTTCTACTTTTGTATTCTATTTTCATAACACGGTAATGGATTGAGGGTAATTGCATAATTTTTATTGACCATAAGAGGGTATTTTTGGTCCTTCGCAACTCAACGTTTCCATTGATATTTACATGAATCTAACAAATGTGTCTATAGATAAATGTGTTATGGTGCCGAATTCTCATTAAAATGATCTCCAAACACAGGTTAATTATGTTGAAATAACACATTTAGAAGATCATTCTGTTTAAAATACATATTCTAAACCTAGTTAATAAAAGCATTACGTTTACATAATTTGATATTTCACCATTAGCGAAAGCAACCATTAATGTAATGAATAAAGGTGATTTTCAACAGACTAAATGGAAAAATTCAGCCAAGTAAAAGAGAAATCTGACTTGTCTCTGATCTATTTGCAGCTGTATATAGATTTCTCCAATGGTCCCATGAGTCCCTGAAGAAAATTAAATAGAAAAAAAGGGCTTCCACCAGATACCAATAATAGCAAAGAAAATCTAGAGAGAGATCCAAATTTACAATAAGCCTTCAGTTTGTTATGAAACGCAAGGAGAATTTCAAAGAGAAACAGACAAGAACAAACAAATCCATAAAGAAAATTAATGAAAAGGGGACAAGTGTAGAGCTCCCTTCAATCCAAACAAGGATCTAACTTGGGTAATGCAGGCTCCTGACATATACAAGCCACAAAACCATCCAAATGGCCTAAAAAAGTTTGGATGAGGCTGAGGAATCCATAGGTCAGCAGCTCGATCTTCCCTGCAAGATCCTTTATTGGACTTCAAGGAGCTCCACTCTCAAACCCTAATCTCACTACACACAGAAAGTCAGTCAATACCCTCCCAACCCACCCCCACCAACCCCAAATTACCCTTTTCCAGCATACCAATAATCTCCACTAGAAAACCGATTTGATCAAGTTCAAGTTTGTAACTTTATATATAACTCTACCAACAAGAAATCAGTGCAGTACTATTATTATTGCACTAATTTCAGATCTAAGTGATCAAGAAAAACATTTGGGAGAAAATCCATGGATTTATTGATCCATGAACGTGTGCATCAACTGAGATCTGAAGTACGAAAAGACTTCAGAATTCAAGTGCAAAACTCATAATCCTTCAAGAAACATATTATGCAAAGAAAAAAAAAAACACACACCCACACACACAAACAAAAACGATGCCCTAGAAAAAGCTAAACAAAAAACCCCCCTATCCATAGAAAAAAGAAACAAATAAAAAAAAAAAAAAAAAAAAAACACACACACACACACACATACACAAAAGATGCCCTAGAAAAAGCTAAACAAAAATCACCCCTATCCATAGAAACAAAGAAAACTCTAAAAGGCCCTGAAGTATTAAAAACATCAGAATTCAGTGCAAAATCCATGACCCTTTTACCTTCAACAAACATATTATGAAACAAACCCACCAAGAAGCCCTAGATAAGACTACCCAGAGCCTATCCATGGCTGCAGAAACAAAGAAAACCCTAAAAGGAGAACTTAGGATGAAAGATAAAGGTGTGAGTGGACGATATATAAAGGGGCTGGGATATGAGAAACGGTAAAATATTGGGTCGACAGCTGGGACTGTTTCTTGCATTTTCATATTAATTTATGTCTTTTCAACTA